TTAATCTTATGTGATTATATTAATTGTTGTCTAATAAATAAGATAATTTGATACCATCATTATATAATACACATACAAAAATAACATAACAGGGATAAATGTGCTTTAGTTACTTACCAAATAAAATATTATTTGCCTATAGAATAAGAAACAAATAATATAATAGTAATGCAATGAGAAAAATAAAACATGCTAATTTTCTTAGGAAAGTATGAATATCAATATTTACAAACAAAAAGTCTTTTAAAATTATTACTTTTTTGTTGCTAGCGTTTAAATATATGGACTCTGTAAGAAATTGGTTATCATAAATAATGATCATATATAATTTATTTTCAATTTTAAATAATTAAAAAATCTAAAAATTTGTATACATGATGTATATTTTAATCATGACTCCATAATAATAAACTTTACAAATGACTAAAAGTATCGTCATATAATGAAATTTTTAATTCTTCTGTTGTCAAATATTATAACAAATGATATGATTTTTAATATTTTTTCATTGTTTTGTTTTATCATTGCAAAAAATAGATTATATTATTCGTCTATATTCTAGATAAATATCACTGAAAATGAAATGTAGGAGTATCAAAACAGTTTTGAATGTTAGAACTTAAGTTGTCACTTTTTATAGAAATATTTATAATCTCATTGGTGTATTGTACTTGAACATATGTACAACTACTTTAGAGGTACTTTCAGGTAATGTATGATGATATCAAAAAATAATTTAGCACCTCGAGAGAAGTACATGTAACCAAGATTTTGGAAAGTCAACTTTTATTTGGAGATAAAATTTATTCCCACCTCGTGGGGCGATGCATCAATGGGGTACACACAAATATGTCTAGAGATAGAGGAATGTAGTTGTTTATACAGTGATAAAAAATATCAGCAATTTTAGTGACACCGTTAGTTATTTCATAGAGATATTTATCCTTTGTTAGTAGAAGTACCTTGTTATAAAGATCATACGATCATGAAGTTTGACTATATGTTGGGTCAGAATGTTTCTTAAGTGTTTGAATAAAATTGACGTTTTGCCAAATTAATTAAGAGGAATTTTGCAATAGTATTGATGTATTGAACTCCAACGACTATGAATGTTCTTATGAGAACGGTAAAACTAAAATGAAAGAAAATCTTTGTGTTTTTTTATTAGGAATTTGTTTTTTATATATATTTTTGTTGGGGTTTGTAAAACGTTGTTTCACTATTTTTATATGAGGACATCATTATGTTAATTCTAAATAAAAAAAAATCACATATGAGTTCATTTTTTTCTATATTTTACTTCATTTATGCAATGATATGTTTAATAAATAAATTAATTTATTTTACAAACTTACTCTACGAAAATCATTCGACACCACGTGCATCGCACGTGCACTTTACTAGTTTTCATAAGCATATGACTTTATTTATTTATTTATTATCTTTTTTTTTGTAGCCGTGAACGGTTTTTGTGGTTTATGAATGAGAGTGTAAGTGTACGCTTATTATCGTTACCATGTATAGATTCATCATTTATTTGGTAATGTTCATCGTGCCGTTTTGCCCACGCTTTTTTTGTTGGATAATGCTTACAACATCCTCTTTACCTCGCAAAGTAGTTTAGTTTATCGGATATCAGAAGTGTAGCAGCAAAATTCTGAACGGAATTTGGCAATAATTAGGGCTTAATACAATTATAACATGTGCCATTTTTCTTTTTCTAATTTTTTTATTATTATTATTATTATTATTATTATTATTATTATTATTATTATTATTATTATTTAATATCTGTTGCCCCTCTAACTTTGAGATCAGAAGTGTCACAACTTCAATATATATGTGCTTTGTGCTTTTATTCCCCTCTTCTTGTGGGGATCTTTACAGTCGAACTTGATTATTATGAAGGTGCTGTTGTGCTGAGAGCTTATATACAATTCTGGCATCCATTGTACATTCTAAGAACCCATATACTAATTTTTCTGTAGGAAAAAGACACGAGTTCCATCTGTAGTCCTTGCACACTAGGTGTGGAAAATTGTAGTTCTTCTCAAAAGCAGTCGGACAGTCCAGTTGATAGACATGGGCCCACAAAATCTGTGGCCAGTATATCTGTGGAGTGCATAAATGAAGCGAGTATTTCGGGTAATAAGCTAGATAAAGTGAGATCACCACCAAAACCGACACAAGCCGAAACTGTTTTGATTGATCGCAATCTGGACAAAGGGCATATAAAGATTGAGCAGCAGCATGAGAGAAGGATTCTTAACCACAATGAATGTACATTTACAACACCTGTGTTGCCTCAAACCCCTGGCGAGGCATTCAGGGATGCTGGTGATGATGTGTGTGGAAAAGTAAGAGAAGAAAGTCGTTTGAGTTAGTTACACAAACTGCCACTGAGGTTTGGGATTTTGACCTTATTGCAGAAAATATAAAGATTTCCTGCCGTGATTTTATTTTTTCTCACAAAGGTTAATAATGTAAACACTCTTTCTTAATATAAAAGGTTATAATAAAGTCAGTTTTTGGATTTAAAACTTAATAAAACCATATGATATTTTTGTAAGTTGTGTGGGTTTTAGTTTATTCAATCTCAATGGTACCTTCATGTTAGTGTGGGATGTTCTCTGAGTAGTTGGTGTAGTCAAATGGTTTTGATTTTGTTAACAGGCCAATAATCATCATGACTTCATCCTTGATCAAAGTGCAGCTGCAGCTGAAAGACTCTTATTCTCAACTACCGAATCACGATTTGCACCTGATCTGGAGCTTGCTTTATGGGCTTGTGAAAGAAAATCACCCATTATTGAGCCGTTTGACTTGGTGAGAATGAGCAGTAAAAGTAGTGGACGATGATCACAAAGTAGAGGAAGATGTGGCATCTCTTTCACCGTCTCTCTCGTTTCCGTTCCCCAAAACCAAAGACAACAATGCCTCAATGCTTCTCTTTGGAAACTTGAGAGACGATTGATAGTGTGGTCGATTGTTGTTGAAGGTAGCGAGTATAGTAGCCTAGGCCTAGGTAGTTAGGATCTTTTGTTGTTTTATATATGTATCATATATTCTGCTGGAACTGAATCATTCATACACATGTGAGTGATACCCTCAGGATTCATCTCATCTGTATGATTTTTGCGAGGTTAGTTACAGTGTTAATTGCGCGTGGATGTATATATGCAAAGGGTATTACCCTATGTTACTGTTCTTTTATAATTAAGGGTTATGACGTAAAGTTTATTTTTATGCTTTAGTTACGGTCAAGCTTTCATAACCTGAAAGTTCGCATGCACTGAGGTTTATGACTATTTTTATGCTTTGACTCACACAACTAAAATGAACACTATATCTCAGCATTTCTGGCGTATTTTTGGGGGTTTTTGGCTGTGCTACAGTAACTCTGAGGTCCCGTCTTTTATTTCTCCGGCTCTAGCCAATATTCCGGTGGGTTTCTTGTGTACAAGTGTCGCTTACTTCCCGCTAAGCTTTCTCGCTCCAGAACTGATAGGATTAAGCCATGGATTGAACGTCTTTGCCACTTAATTCGTCTGCTGCTACAGTGACCATTCCAGAGCTACAGTAACTTCTGCTAGTTTTTCTTTACGATGGGAGAATCAAGGAAGAAGATTGCATACCGGAAATTAACAGATGAAGAATGTTCGCGCCACTACCATGGTGAAGCTGAACACGATCTCCAGGACTCCATAGACGAGCAGCAGCAAGCTTATGACGAGGAGATGGCTGCCTCTCCAAAAAATAAGCACACGGTGAATAATAATGAAGGCACATGAGGTTAATGTCGAGGGTCACTGAGACCTCTTTAGCTGCTGAGAAAGTGAATTTAATTGATGAAGTTGTTGAGGGAAAGAGGGCATTGAAGTAGCAGCCCAAAACACTAACCAACAAAGGCGAACGGAAGGTACTCGATGAAATGCACTGAAGAGATTCCGGCACACACAAGTGGCCTTTTTCGGCTCTCTTTGCCGACAACCGCAAGGCTTCTCTCGGCCTCAAATTGGACTACATTCCACCGATGGATTGAGGTTCTTTCCTTGATGACGATAATGTTATGGGTGTTACCCAAACCCGGGGATTTTGCTTTGTCGGGTACTTCACCCAAAGGCACCCGGGTAAGGAGGCTCTTTTGAAATTATGCAAGTCTTGGAATGTTGAATACAACTATGTTCCCAACGTAAATGGTTGGATCGTCTTCATGTTCAAGACCGAGGAAGATCGGGACAAGGTCTTACATGGAGGCCCATATACAATTTACGGAAGGGGGCTAATCCTCAAGATCCTTCCGAATTGGTTCCAATTTAGAGAAGACGATATCAAAATTGTGTCTGCATGAATCAACCTTCCATTCCTACCCGGAGAATGTTGGAATGCTAAGGCCATCGCCAAAATCGCCTTTTGTGTCGATAAGCCCATCACAACCGTTAAGCTAACGACGATAAGGGCTTGGTGCAACACGCTCGGGTTTTGGTGGAGCTAGACCTCTCAAAAGATAAAATTCTTAGTGTGGTCGTCACCTTCAAAAAAGGACTCTTGTTCGAGCAAAAGGTGGAATATGAGTTCGTCCCCCATTATTGCACCTTTTGTAAGTTTAATGGACACACCCTTTCCAATTGTGGGAAACACAATGCCCACCAAAAGACAAAGGGTAAGATAGCTACCGGGGAACCAAACAACCTTGGAGAAGAAACATCTTTGGAGGCCGTTAAAAGAACCGATGATAGCACACCCAATGAGATAGGGCTTGCAGGTCAGAAGACCAAGGTTACAAGAGATGAGAAGTCAAAGGACCATCTTGAGGGCCTTGCTAGCAAACCCATGGAGTTAGGGTTTGCGGGTAAAATGCCCAAGGGTGTATTAGGCGATGAGACAAAGGAAAAAGAGAATGGTGAAGCCACGAAAGGAGCCCAATTGGAGACCGTTAGCCTCTCGGATACCGGTTCATCCTCCACCACACCCGGCAACAAGGACACTCAAAATTTGGCGACCTCACTTTCGGAAGATGATGATGCTTCTTTCCAAGTAGTGGGGAAGCACAACAAAGGATACAAACAAAGTAGCTCCATGAGCCTTCGAGCTCACATGTGGGACAAAAAACTAATTTTGAGAGAAGCCGAATGCAAGGAAAGAGCTGGGCAAGGGAACACACTTGAAGAAATGGGGCATCTCCTCCACTTCGCAATGATTATCACCTTTTGAAATATTAGAGGCTTCAATGGGCCTCTAAAGCAAGATGAGGTTGTCAAGCTCATCCGAAAGAATAATATACATGTTTTGGGTTTTTTGGAGACGAAAACCGACGATAGGCGCCTTTCTCTCTATGTGAATAAGAGGTTGCCAGGTTGGGCTTTTTGTGATAATTTTCATGACCTCACGGTGGAGGACATCAAGCCACAATTCACTTTTGCTACAATTCATTGTAAACTTAGTAACCATTCCTTTGTCGCTAGCTTTATATATGGACTTCACTCGAGAGGAGATCAGAAACTATTATGGAAATCGCTCAAGGCCTCCCGGGGGAGAATCTCTATACCTTGGGTGCTTCTTGGGGACTTTAATACTATCCTCAAGCCGGAGGAGAGAATCAAAGGGGTGAGAGTTATGAGTTGGGACATAATGGATCAGAAGTATGTGCTACCTTGGGGTTGTCGGATATACCTTCGAGTGGTTTCTTCCACACTTGGACCAACAATCATGTTTGGTCTAAGCTTGATAGGGCTATGGTGGATCCAATTTGGGAGAATGGCGACTTCTTCTTGCACGCAAATTATTTTTGCCTCGGGTATGTCCGATCACTCCCCTTGTATCGTGACTATATTTGAGGCTAGAAGCACAAGTGGGACTCCTTGGCGTTTCTTTAATATGTGGATGCATCATGAGAATTTCTTGGCGTGTGTCCAATATACTTGGAACCAAACAGGAGGGGGAATGAGGCAATACCGACTTAGCACAAAGTTGAAGAACCTTAAGAGCAAGCTTAAGGCACTTAATGAGGAATCCTTCTCACATATCTCACCTCAGGCCACGGATGCAAAGAGTTCCCTCAAGCTAGCACAACAAACGCTCCATGACCATCCCGACGACACCGACACCAAGTCTATGATGTCTTCCCTTAGACTTCAAGCACTTAACTTGGCCAAGGCGGAGAAGCTCTTCTATTAACAAAAGGCCAAATGCAAATTTCAAATAAAGGGTGAAAAATGCACCAAGTTTTACCATGTCTTGGTCAAGAAGAGATCGAAGCGTAATTTTAAATCAATCGAGAAAATGGAACCGTGACTGACTCCCTTGATGAAGTTGCTAAAGAATTTTTGGGCTACTATGAGTTTCTCTTGGAACCAGGATTGACACGGAGGACGTGGACCCCCATGTTCTCAATTCGGGACCGCGTATTGCCGACGAGCACCATAGTTCGCTTCTTTCCTCGGTGACCGAAGCCTTTATCAAGGCCACCCTAAGTGAAATTGTGGGTGGGAAATCCCCGGGACCGGACATCTATACCTCCTCCTTCTTCTTGAAGAGTTGGGCCATAGTTGGGGTCGATGTAGTGTTCACAATTCGAGAATTCTTTCGCTCCGGCTCCCCACTCAAACAGTTGAATCACACCGTTCTTACACTTGTGCCGAAGTCCTCTCACTCCTCGCTAGTGACGGACTTTAGACCAATTGCGTGTTTCAACACATTGAACAAAATTTCCTCCAAGATCTTGGCTCGGAGAATTAGTGAAGTCCTTAATTCCATAGGCCCAAGCTACTTTTGTTAAGGGGAGGAATATCTCGGACAACATCCACCTCATGCAACAATTTCTCCGTCAATCCATGAGGAAACGAGCTACCCCAAGGTGTACCATCAAAATTGACCTCCGTAAAGCCTTTGATCCAATTTCTTGGACGTTCTTGAAGCAAGTGCTCGAGGGTCTTGGCTTCCATTAAGCCTTCACGGGATGGGTCATGGAGTGCGTTACAACCCCATCCTACTCATTATCTATTAAAGGGAGCCCCAAAGGTCACTCCAAAGGGGCGTATGGACTTAGGCAAGGTGACCCCCTTTGACCCTTCCTTTTTGTGATTTGCACTGAATATTTCTCTAGACTTATCAAGTGCAATACGATGGAGGGCTTGAACTTCAAATTCCACCCGATGTGTGAGCAACTTAAAATCACACACCTCGCCTTTGCGGACGATATTATGCTACTCTCCCGAGGTGACCCATCGTCCATACAAATCCTCATGAATTGCCTCAAAGACTTTGGGGCCAAATCGGGGCTTGAAATGAATGTGCAAAAATCTAATATTTATTTGACGGGGGTAAAAGATGCTAACCGGGTAAAAATAAATGATGACACCTACTTGCAATGTGGTCTAATGCCCTTTCAATACTTAAGTGTCCCTCTCACCGCGGAGCGAGTCACCGCTAGACTCTTGATGGTTTGGTCAAGCAACGCGAGACACAACTAAGCTAATGGAGCGGCCACACTCTCTTATATACCGGTAGAGTGGAACTCATCCGCTCGATGATCCAAGGTACTGAGTGTTTTTGGTTGGGGATTTTCCACTTGCCTACTATAGAACGCACCAAAATTATACAACTATTTAAGCAGTTTCTTTGGGGCTCGAAAAGCACTCTCGTTGCTTGGGATAACTTATGCCTCCTCCACTCGAAAGGTGTTAGTGTTATATACTGAAAGCTTGACTTTGGATGATATTACACTTTTACCCTTTATGAATGAGAAATATGTTAGATTAAACAAGTTCTACGTTCTATTATTTTGCATTAGATAGTGTGGGTCGTCATCGGGCGAACCGAAGATCATGCTATCAGTTACTCGCGAAACAAGAATAAGTGGTTCATAACCCAGATGGACATAAACACCCCATCGCGAACGGTTGTAGTGTCAACTGTACAGTTTGTCTTGACTGATTAGTTGCACTAGTACATTTATGTATTGAACAAGACCCCAGAGAGGAGCAATTTGTTTTATACTGATCGTCGTAAACGAACTAGGCCTCGGTTAATTACTGCGTACTCTTAACCCGTAAGATATTAAACAGACATATATGTGTAGTATTTATTACTTTGATTCACATGGGTGAGGCTTAGTGAACTGGGCCAATAGACCCGCTGTCTTGGGTAATATTTCTACATGTAGGATGTGTTGTTATGATATTTACGGTCACCATGTGCGTTAGTTTGATGATGTCCCCGGAGTGAGTTCATAAAGGATTATTATGCTAAACCCTACAGGTGGATTAAATTCCGGCATAGTAATAATGTGATGAACGAGCGCTAACTTCGGTGATATAATAATAAATTAATTAATTCTTGATTGTCACTATCGAATTAATTAATGGACATTATATCTTAAAAATAGATAGATAAATCGAGTAATTATTATTGGAGTCTCAATTGTAAATTGGACTAGGAAAAGGGAGTGCAATAATATTATGTTGGTGGCCCATTTAATATTATTTAATTAATTAAAATAAGTGGCTTGGTCCACAAGTATTTTAATTAATTAAGGAGCCCTAATCCTAATCTCCTAAGGATCTGTACTATAGCTCTATATATACATCATTAAGCTCATGGGAAAAGGAGAGAATTCCACATCTTGGAAATCACACCCCACGCCTCTCTTCTCTCTCTCAGTTCTCATTCGACCTTTATCTTCTTCTTGTTGTTTCACTGGTACAAGATTAAGAGGTGTTTGAGATATACAGTAGAAGACCTTTGGGTAAAGTGAGACGAAATATATTTGGTTGTACAGAACTAACCAGAG